AGAAGAATAAAAATTCCTGATTCTCTACTAAATACAATAATTGAATAAATTACACCATCAATTTAATAGTATTGTTAAACACCATTATAGAGAATAATAGACCCTTAATTAGTAGAGGAAACAGCTAAAATATTATATGATAGACGTAAAGTAACTGAGATGATCATTAATTCTATATGTGATAATATCATAAATAGCTTACATAATCTACCTTTTATAATAAGAGCTTTATGTAGATTGCAATATTAAATCTTTAAAGCCCTTTATTAAACTTATAAATAAGAGGAAATATTTAATTTGCTTATTTAATTCCTTATTAATAAATGGGTAATACCTGAATTTACAGCTATGTTTCTTAATTAATAATAATTAGAATCATCTTATTATTAAGCTAATAATATTACAGTTATAAGTAAAATCTTATTGTGTGTTTGGAAAGGAGAGATTATAGAAGGTCTTAAAATATCATTAAATAGTGTTAATGTTTTTAATTATTTCAAAGAATCAATTGAGTTACCTCAAACCCAATTGAATTTTTACATCAAAGATAAATCTGAAAAACATTTTATATCCTATTTACTCTCTATTTCAGATTTACAAATTTTATTAAATACAATATCAAAATCAAGAATTGAAGGTTCATTAGGAGGTAAACAATTAACCAGATACACAGATTTAAAGGAATTAGCAGATAGCATAATGAGGTATAATTTGAAAATGGGAGGTGATTATATGAGTAATCAAATATCATGGAAAGGATAGAAAATACTTGCAAGTAATATGCATTTTGCAGTACATAGACTATCTGAACTTTATAATGTTAATTATATAGATATTGCTTTTAAATTTACAGAGAAGTTTAGTGCATAAGATAAAGAAGAATTATTATTTATTTCTAAAGCCAAATAAGTTGTTGCATAATTTTTAATTTCCATTGAACGAATATCCCTTTTGTCTAAATTAAGGAACAATATAATTTTAAGTTTTGATAACTTAATATATATGTATAAAGATGTAATTCATATTATTTAATTTAGTCATATGAAAATAAGGGTTAAATAATTAAATAATATGAGAATATTTCACCATAATTATATGCTAATTATTTGCTTTCTATATATAAAATGATTCCAAATTAATATACTAGCAATAATCTTTCACTTTTATGTCAAGAAATGATCTAAGAATTTGATTAGAAAGTTACTTATGCAAAAAATCGTAAGTACTCTTTGTTTCTTATATAGAACAAAAGGCAATGTTAGAAGTATTTTTGAAAATTATTACACAACTTAAAACTGAGAGAAATGAAATCAAAGCTTTGAACAAAATGTTAAAAACTATTGAGTTAAAAAAAAAGTTGAATTTTTTCTTAAAAAATATCAAGATTCCATGTTTATTGAGTTTCAGATATGGATAAATCAATTTAAATTCAATTTAAGACTCATCTAAAACTAAATCATTAGATCCTAAAGATAATGAAAAATAATAATTCTTATAAATTGTGAATGGAACAGATCTAAACTCTCTATAATTAGAATTACCCTTTTAAAGTATAAGAGACTTTATAGATATTTTGAGTGGACTTAAGCATTTGCAACTTGCCTTAGAAGGAGATGAAGTTTTTATAGAGATGTAATAAATAATTCTATTATTTTAGAGTCTCAAAACTATTTTAAAATTATATGAAATTAGTGGAAGAAAAGTTATAATAATAATCATTTTTCCCATAAAATTAGAATTTAAAAAAAAATAATTAATATGTTGATTTATGCTATGAAACAGCAGAAAAATCTATTGTAAGAAGAATCATAATGAAATATTGTACCAAAAACGAAATAAAAGAAGATAAACCATTTATTTAATAATGTCAATAGAAATTAAAACATTTAGAAGAATAACAAGAAGTTAAAATTTGTTTATCAGAATTACCTATGTTATAGAAAATGAGTGAATGTATTTAGTGATATTAATAAAATTAGCTTTCAGATAGATTGATTAAGTAATGACTCCTATTGAAAAATTATAAATGATTTCTGATTGCTTGAGTAACACATCCTAATTATTGAAAATATCTGGAATTGATGATAATCCTGGCTAAGATGGAACACTGCCAGTTTTTATATATTTAGTTGCTTAAGCATGTCCTAAATTTATGAAAACAAATTTGAATATAATCTAATCTTTATTCAATTTTGATCGTTGGAAGAATTCCACTTATCCATTTTCATCAACATAATTATAAGGAGCTTATGAAAATATTATGAGTTGAGATTATAACAATATATATTTCATAATTAATTTGAATCATCACTTTTCAAAATGTTATCTCATTCAAATAATACTTTTGATTCTTTATTTTACTCTTCCTTAATTAATTATATATTAACTTAATTAGCAATAAGTAATAACTTTCATTAATATAATTAAAAGTTGATCGCTTAAGTAATGAAATAGAATTTTGGAACAAATTTATAATTCTTTCACACAACTTATTTTTTTATATATTTTATTTTTGAAGGAGTAATATTGAGTAGCCTTCAGTCTTATTTTAATTTTATAAGATGATTCTATTTTAAGCAATGATTAAGAATTCTTAAGTCTTAAATGTAATTTGTGAACTTAACAATGCACTCTTTGATACATAATCATTTTGTTAATTTATAATGCATTTATCGAGCAGCCACAATATTAGATTTGCCATCTATAGAATATTTGATTATTTGTTGCATTAACTTTAAGCTTATAGTTATGTTATTCATTTAATAAAGAGATTATCAACTTGAGTTTTTATTAATCAAAATCTTTTATTCTATTTCAGTGACTAACATTCACCAACTCCTTTAAGAATACTATTTTTAAAGCATAAAATAATTAAAATATCTTTTTAATTTTATGTTTGCTATCACGAAGTAGGCATTGTTTAGGCAATAAGCAATGAAACTTATGAATCGATTTGCTGTAGTTGCCAACAATAAACCAGAAAAAGGACCATCATAAGTAATATTAAATATTAAAGATCAAGGGTCATTTAACAGACAAATACACAGTTATAGATCATACTTATGATGCAGTTGTTGTAGGAGCTGGTGGAGCTGGATTAAGAGCAGCTTTTGGTTTAGTTGAATTAGGTTTTAAGACTGCATGCATATCTAAGTTATTTCCAACTAGATCACATACAGTTGCAGCATAAGGAGGTATTAATGCAGCCTTAGGTAACATGACAGAGGATGATTGGAGATGGTATTAATGATCAAAATTTACATAGGCATGCATATGATACTATTAAAGGATCAGATTGGTTAGGTGATTAAGATGCTATTACATATATGTGCAAAGAAGCACCTAAGGCTGTTTATGAATTGGAAAGTTATGGTTTACCATTTTCTCGTACTCCTGAAGGCAAAATTTATTAAAGAGCATTTGGAGGTTAAAGTTTGAAGTTTGGAACAGGTGGATAAGCATATAGATGTTGTGCAGTGGCTGATCGTACTGGACATGCTATGTTACATACATTATTTGGCAGAGCTTTAGGTTATGATTGCATTTTCTTTGTTGAATATTTTGCACTTGATTTAATGATGGATGATTAAGGGTAATTTTATATTTTATATAAATTCATAGAGCTTGTAGAGGAGTCGTATGCATGTCAATGGCAGATGGATCAATTCATAGAATTAGAGCCGGATATACTGTTATTGCAACAGGAGGATATGGAAGAGCATTCTAATCATGTACATCAGCACATACATGCACTGGTGATGGTGGTGGTATGACAATTAGAGCTGGTTTACCTATGGAAGACTTAGAATTTGTGTAATTCCATCCTACTGGTATTTATGGATCTGGATGTCTTATGACTGAAGGATGTAGAGGTGAAGGAGGTATTCTTAGAAATTCTTTGGGTGAAAGATTTATGGAAAGATATGCTCCTACTGCTAAAGATTTAGCTAGTAGAGATGTTGTTTCTAGAGCCATGACTAAAGAAATTTTAGAAGGAAGAGGGTAATAATTATATAATAATCGTTTTTAGAGTTGGACCAGAAAAAGATCATATTTATTTACATTTAAATCATTTACCTGCTGAACTATTACATGAAAGATTACCAGGTATCAGTGAAGCAGCTAAGATCTTCGCAGGAGTTGATGTTACAAAAGAACCAGCTCCAGTATTGCCAACTGTTCATTATAATATGGGTGGAGTACCTACAAATTATAAAACTGAAGTGTTAAATTAAGTTAATGGAAAAGACTAAATTGTTCCTGGACTATTAGCTGCAGGTGAAGCTGCTTGTGCCTCAGTTCATGGTGCAAATAGATTAGGAGCTAATTCATTATTAGATATTGTTGTTTTTGGAAGATAAGCAGCAAATTTAGTTGGTGAAAAATGGAAACCAGGATAAAAACAACCAGATCTACCTAAGAATGCTGGTGAAGCTGCTATTGCAAGAATTGATAGACTTAGACATCATGAAGGATCATAAACAATTGCTTAAGTTAGAAAAGATTTATAGAGAACTATGTAAAAACATGCAGCTGTTTTCAGAATTGAAAAGACTCTATAAGAAGGTGTTGAAAAAGTTAAGGAAATTTATTCAAGAAAAGATGATGTTAGAATTAAAGATAAAGGATTAGTTTGGAATTCTGATCTTATTGAAGGATTAGAATTAGAGAATTTATTATGTATTTATTAATTTATACATTACATTAGTATAAGGAAAAATGACTATTGAAGGAGCTTTGAATAGAAAGGAATCTAGAGGTGCTCATGCTAGAGATGATTTTCCTGATAGAGATGATAAAAATTGGATGAAACACACTCTTGCTAGAATTTAAGATACTAAATCAGGAGATGTTTAATTGACTTATAGAGATGTATAACTATTCATTAATATAATAATAGGTCATTACAAAAACTATGGATCCTAATGAATTTGACACTGTACCACCTAAGAAGAGAGTTTATTGATAATTATAAAATAAAATATATATAATACAAAATTTATGACAGACGTTGAAATTACACCAAAACATTTGAAATTTTAAAAAATTGGATAAGAAAAGACAGTATACAACAATATAATTATTAGATTACTGTCAAGAACAATAGGAGGGTTGTGCTTAATTTTGCATTCAGACTTTTCAAAAATTATGAAATAGCACCAACTGCCCTTTAACTACTTCCTGGAGAGGCAACTGTAGTAACTGTTAAATTAAAGAATGTTGAAGCTCAAGAGGACTTTATTTACATAAAAGGAGATAATTTAGATTGTAGAATTGCTGTTAGTTTTGAATGTGATTCTGACCGTTTGAATTAATATATTGATTAAGATATTCAAAATAGGACAATCACATCACCAGGATTTGGAAATTTAGAGACATTTGGTAATGTTAGAAGTGAATAGTTTAATGCTGAAGAAAATAAAATACTTCAATAAAGAATCAATTATCTAACTTAATAAAACCAGTTACTTAATGATGCATTAGAACAATTTATGAATTAAGAAATGGATGGTAATTCTATTAAAGACTTATTAAATCACTTAATAGAATAGGAAAGATAAGACAATGAATTTAGAAGTTAAAGGGTTTTATTAATGATAGAAGAAAAAGATAGAGAAATTGATGATTTAAGATTATAATTATAGAAACATTAATTCAACAGTAATACCAAAGATTAACTTAAAGAATTAGTAAAGGAGAATGAGAAGTTATAAATGAAAATCTAAGACTATCAAGCTAGAGAGTAATATTTTAATTAACATTAACCTGAAAGAGAGAGTTATGTGATGTTGTATCGTAAATATGAATCAATACTTGATCAAAATAAAAAATTAGAATCTATAAATAGATAAATGAATGAAGAAATTGAAGTTATAGCTAAAAGATTAAATGATAGTGGATTATAAAATTCAAATATTAGAGTTGAAGAAACTAGAGATGAATTAGTAAATAGATTAAATGCTCGTATCACATAACTTAAATTAAGAGAAGAAAAATTACTAGAAGAAAATGCTCATTTAGAAGAAATGCTTATCTAATAATAAGGATCAAGTTAAAATTATTCATCAAATTAATCTAAAAATTTAACAGATGATCTATTAAAAAAAGAATATTAAATATTAGAAAAGTCAAAGAAAGAGTTAGAAAAAAAATGTAATGATACTATATCCAAATCTTAAATACTAGAAAAGTAAGTAGATGAATAAACTAAATAAGCTGGATATTTAGGTGATGAATTATGGAAATCTTAAAGAGAAAATGAAAAGTTAAAATAAGAAATTAAAAAATTAAAAGAATAAGATGAATTAATTAAAAAAGAAAGATTAGAATATGAATCTTAGATTTATGCTCTAGAATAAACACTTAAATAAGCTAATAGTTTATAGGATGTAAAAGAAGAAGCTAGAAAAAGATGGGAAAAAGAATTAGGTAAATTGTAAAGTAGTTATGAAAATGAAATTGTTGCTTATTAAGATGATGCATAAAAATTAAAGAAAATAATTAATGATTTAAAAAAAGAAAATGAAATTACAAATACTTAATTAAAAGAAACATAATTTAAATTTGATTAAAAAATATAATAATTATCATAATATGAAGAATAAATGTAAGAATTATAATTTAAAAATCAAAAATTATAAAAAGTTAATCAATAAAATTAAATTGATATAGAAAAAACAAAAAGTGAATTTATTATTCTTAAAGAAAAAACAGATATTGAACTTTAAAGAAGAGATAATCTTGAAAAGTAACTTTAAGATAGATAATTATGTCTCTAAGATTAAATTAATAATATTATGAAAGAGAAATCAATAACATAAAGTGAATTATAATTAGAAATGAATAAATTATGTTAATAACATAAAGCATCTATTGATTAATTATTAATGGATAACAAATCATTAGAATAATAATATTTATTAGTTCAAGATTAACTAAAAATCTAAAGAGATTAATATGCTTAAAGAGAGGAAGCCTTAATTAGAGAAGTTAGGAATATGTAAGAAAAAATTGAAAAATTAGTATAAAATTAAAAGTAAAAGGAAAAATAGAGAAGAAACAGTAGAAGTAACAATTCTTCAGTTGAAAAAACAGTTGCACCTTCTCTTCATAATATTGAAGAAGAAAGAAAAATCTCTGATTTATATATGTAGAAAATTAGAGAATTGGAATCAGAGTTAAACAAAACTAGATAATAAAAAATGTAAATAGAATTTGATTTTAATCAATTAAAAACAAAAAGTACATTTTTATAATAAGGATAAACAAAAGACTTTCTAGCATAATAGTAACCTATTCTTGCAGATGATTTAAATGAACTCAAGAAAACTATGATTGAAATGAGACTAGAGAGAGATAAAATAATTAATTAATTATAAGAAAAGGATTATTAGATTGATCATTTGAGTACATAAGTTCAAGATTATGCTTCTCTTGTTTAATAATAACAAGGAAATCTTGAACAAATGGAAATTAAATTAAGTTATATTAATGATGATTTCAAAAAAACTCTTGAATAAAAGAATTCTGAATTACACAAACTCAAATTGGAACTTAATATAAGGGAAGAATAGAATTAAGTTTATTAAGAATAGACTAAATTATTAACAAATGAAAGAAGAGAAATTAATGAAAAGTGTTATATATAAAATTTTGAAATAGAGTAAATGAAAACCAATTATTAAGAAGTTGAAACATCAAGAAAACAATTAATTTAAGAACTTAGATAGAAAATTGATGTTTTAATAAAAGATAATGAAGAAAATGCTGAAATTATATAAAAAATTAATACTGAAATTGTAAATCAAAAGGAAATATATGAGGAAATTATAGAGAGATAAAATAATACAATGGAATTGATTAGTGAAAAATTCAATTAAGATATGTAAGAATTATAATGTAGATAAAATTAATATTTTAATTAGAATGATGCTTATAAAAAAAGTCTTAATCCTACTAAAGAATAATAATGGTTTAAAGAATTAATATAATCATATCATGATAATGTTGTTTAACTTTCTTAAAATATGTAGAAATAGAAATAAAATAATGATAAAAGTAAATAATTACAGTAGACAATTAACCAATAAAAATAATAAATAAAAGAAATATCTGACAAATTAAATACTATTTAAACTGAAAATTAAAACTTATCAAAATAACTTGAAAAGCATAAACCTAAAATTCCTAGTCTCAAAAAACCATCTACAAGTAAATAAATTTAGTAAGAAAAATAGAAATATGATGAATAAGTACCTGTTACATTGCTTTTACAATAAGGTAAAGTTGCAGAAGTAGAGATTAAATCTAATTAATATAAAATCTAATTAAAATTAGCTGAATAAAAGATTGATCAATTAAAACAAGCTAATTTAATTTATGAATAAGAATTAAAAAAAGTTAATTAATCAAATTCTCATTTATAAGATTTACTTAAGAATAGAGATTAAACAATTTAAGAACTATAAAAATAATACAAGCAAGAAAATCAAAAAATTATTAATGAATTAAATCAAGTCTAAAATAAATTTGTACCAGAAGATAAAGTTTAGGCACTTAATGAGGTTATAATTTAAAAAGATTAAATTATTAATTAATTAAAAGATGAAATTTAAAGAAAAAAAGATGTTGCTGATTAATTTAGAGGAGACAGAGAAGATCAAAAGCAAATTGTTGAAAAATTAAAAAAATAAAATGAAGATTTATAAACAGAAAATGAAAAATTAAAAAGAGTAAATAAAGATAATGAGAGATAAAGTAGCAATTTCAAAGAATTCAAAGAGAAATATGATCAAATGAAAGTTTAAGAGAAATAAATTTAAGATGAAATTAAAAGCATATAAGAAAAAAATAAGTAACTTAAATAAGACAATACAAGGAAGGAAACTAATATAAAAGAATTAAAGGATAAAATAGATTAACTTTAAAACTAGAAACCAAATGATTCTGAAAAACAAGATTTATTATAATAAGTTAAAAAATTAAAAGATGAAATTAATAGAAAAGATTAAGCAATAAAGCACTTTAAGTAGAAATTTGAAGAAAAGTCTAATGAATTTGAAATTTATAAGACTGATTATGCATCTAAATATGCATAGACTGTATCAGAATTAGGTAATAAATAATTTTATTTTTAGAAAAGGAAATGAGAAAAAATGAATAAGGTAAAATTGGAAGTAAAAAGTATGAAAATTAAGTAAATATGTTAATATTTCTATTGAAACGTATTTATAGAGAGAATTATATGGAATTAAATAAAGGTAATTAAGCAAAGGTTTGCATAAAAGGTGAAAATAAACCTAAAAATATATCTAAGTTTTCAGAGTCTATGAACATTTTAAATTTAGGACCTGAAGATATTGAAGAATTCTTAGAACCAAATATTTCAGTGAGTACAGTTAAAAAATCAAATAATAAAGATTTGGATAGATTTGAGTCATTATTCATGAATCCTGATTAATTAGACGTAAATTAAATTTTTAATATGATCAATAATGTAATTACTGAAAGAATAAACTGTAGTTGAAAAGAATGAATTACTTAAATATTAGTTAATAATTATAATTTTTAAATTAATTGCATTTCTCAATTAATAACAAATTATGATAAATTTTATTTTCCTTTGATTTTCTATAAATTTTAAATTATTTTCTAAAATACCAAAAATTCATATCAAAAATACTAAATATGAAGTAATAAGAAACTAAATTAATAAGATAAGTAAGATTAGGAATTTTCTATATACTAATGATTACTATTTGATGATAATAAAGCTATATAATATTAATTTAATTTATCATAGTAAATTTTTATTTTATTTATAAATGATAAAAACTATAAGTCTGAAGTTCAATTCTCTTGAAATGGAAGATGCATATAAAGAATGGTGTTTCAAAAATAATTAGAAAAGATATTAACTATTGCTCTGTTTTATTAGTGTTTATTTAGTAGTAATGATTACTGAGTTTAACAACACAAAATCATTATTACCTTTAATTTTATCATGTATAATATTAAGTTTAGAACTAACACTTTTATTCTTCATAAGGAAATACCAAGAAAAAGTGGAAATTATTCTAACCTCTAACTAAATATTATTATGTTTAATTTGTGAATTCTATAGATTATTTGCTGATAAAAGTAATTAATGGCACATAGGTTACAGTTTAGCATGTATAAAATTATGTAATATTAAATATTCAATTAGTAATTTATGTACGAGGTAATAAATTTATTATGCAAACTGGTTTATAAATTCTTTGCTAATGTTGTTCATTTATTCAAATGAGCAATGTTTAAATTTATGATATTATAACCCATAATTTAATAACTTTGCTTATGGTTGCTTTTAGATATTCTATTGAATCTGGAAATAGATAATATTTCGTAGCTCATTAATCATAACTATAGTATGAAAATATTATATAAGATTTACTTCCCTCTTGGGTTATGATAGTGAAATTTGATAAAAATTAAGGATAATTATGTCTTGATAAAATAAATAACAATATGAGAGTTAAGCTTGAAATACATGATGATAAGTGTTTTCGAGATTTTTTAAGAAAAATCTAGGCAATTCCATATGAATCTGAAAACTTTTAATCAATTAAGTTAGAACATACATTAATACGATTATTATAATAATAAAAAGAAGAGCATCCGGTTGAGAGATATTATGCTGAGATATATAAAAATGAAAACAAAACTAAATAGTTGAAATTCAAAATAACACAAGTTTATTTTAAAACATTTGACCCTTCAGTAATTTTGTTATTTGAAGAGTTAAAGGAAGATAAAAGTGAATCCTTAATTTAATAGATAGAATAAAGAGATTAATCTTCATCAACGTATGCAAGAATATCACTTTAGATTTTAACTCAATAGATTTCATTGTTATAATTTATTAAAATTTATCTATCAAAAGAAAAATTATAATAATGTCCTCCAAATTTGCTAAAGTATATTAGTTAACAGATTCAAAGGGGATATAATATATTTAATTTAAACTTTGATATATTAAATCAATTTAAAATTGTTCATGGTTAAATAAAATTTGAAGCAAATGAAATTAAACCTTTATTACTGATATAATAATTATGTGAAGACTTAATATTAAATAAAGCATAATCGAATCCAAAAAGGAAATAAATATCAAATACAGATATCGTAAAAACTGATAGGGCAAAATTAATTTCTATAATTATCAATTTGGTTGAATTCATTAAAATATTGATGTCAATAATATATGGAGATGAAAAAATCTTAAGTTAAAGTACTCCATTTGGATATCCTATATAAATATCTGTAAAATGTTCTTAAATTTATCCTAATTGTATAAAATTTGGACTTTAGCATCCTAAATTATATCTATCAGCTTCTATTAGAGAACTATTTTTAAATATTGAAACAGCAATTCATCATAAAAAAAGAAATTGGAATTAAAGAAATTATTTTGGAATGATAAATTAATTAACCAATGTATATTCATAAATTTTTGAAGGGTATAAAAAAGATTTCAATAAATCTACAAGTTTTATGGATGATGATTAATTGCTACACATATAAAAGCCAAGTGTATATTTAAGTTAAGAATCAAGAATGCCCACTATATAAAATAATATTCCATAATAATTTTAATTTAATATATTAGGATATCCTATGGCCTAGTATTTGATTAGTTAACTAGGACCATGTAATAAATTACAATTTAAGAATAGATTTATAAATTATAATGGATTAACTAATAATTATACAAATTCTTAATAAACAAAACTATCTTTTCTTATTTATCAAGATTTAGATGAATTTATATAAGAATTAAATAAAACTGAGAAGCCAATTTTTGAACTAATCTAAAAAAAAAAGATACTCCATTATAATAATACTTAAAAATATTATCCTTGTTCTTAATTTGGATCATTTTAGGCAAGATTTTGAGTATTTTTAATTCTTTTTTGAAAACTCTTAATTTGATATAAGATTAAAAAATTATATCACTTTATTTATGATATTTTAAATCTTTTTGGATAGTATATATTTTTATGTAACTTGTATAAATTATAAATTTATAATAAGTGTATTTTTTTTAAATAATATAAAAAGAGAAAAAAATAATGTTATTTTAATTATAAAAAAATTGATTTATGTAAGATTAAGAAAAATAGGGAATAGACGATGCTTTAATGATGGGCAACTAAAAGAGAGGTATTGATTACTATTTGGAACAACTAAAATTAACAATCTTTTAAGTTCTATTTGTTATTCGTAATAGTGAAGATGAAGAAGGAGGAATGTTTGGATTCTATTTTTTTAATGCTCTCGATTATTTTCAGATGCATCAATTTCCATTTTATGTAACTATCTATTACCTTTGGAAATAAGACACTTTTATGGAATTTATCACACTTGTTTAAAATCTATTTCAAATAAGTAATTACATTCCAAGTTTAACTTATGAATCTCTTTTAATGACTGTCTACATATTGTTATTTTTTATTTTGCTGATCATTCTAGATATTATTTATGTTTCATACTCATTTTCTCGTAATCGATTTTATTGGCTCTGGCCATTATTATTATTAAAAAAGATAACTTCATTTGTTGTAACTGTAGGATTTTTACCTATCACAGAAACCTTAACTTCTATTTTATAATGTTATGTAGATCCAGATACAGGAAAATACATAATATATGGTTACAACAATATTTTTGTTGAATGTTGGCAAGACTGGCATACATTTCATGCAGTTTTAGATCTTACATTCATTATATTTTTTTCAATAATTTGTAGTATTGTTGCATATGCATTTTTTGAACCAGCTATGAATACTAATGATAGATCTGCTAGATAGGATTCAAATGGAGAAGTGGCTTTTATTACAAATAAAATTACTTGTTAATTGATGTTTAGTTTACTTAGACCGAATTATCCTGAATAAGCATGGATCATTGTTATAACCTCTTTTATTCTATCACTATGGTTATTTAAACAATATAATTTTAATGATCCCTACTATGATTTTTAAGTTGGATTATTCTATTGTATTTGCAGTACACTTTATTTATGGGCTTGCTTTATGTTATTAGTTTGTAAAGTATTAGAATCAACTGATTTTACTGGAGGATTTATTGCTTGGTTAATTGGTGTCCCATTTATAATTAGTATAATGTTATTAACTAAAAAATCTAAAATTGATACTCTTGTTAAATCTTAAACAAAATTTAGAAGTGGAGAGTAAATATGGAGTCATATTAGATATGTATTACAACTAATATAAAATTAAGATAAAGATAGAAATTCTTATATGTTACTTGTTGGTTATATTGAAAAACACAAAGAGACTTGTAATTATGATGATTGTCCTTTAAAAACAAAATTAAAATAAAAAAAGAAGGGAAGTTAGAATGATATTAATGAAATAATTAGAGGATTAATATAAGAATTAGATAGGATGTTTGTTTAAGGTTTAAAGAAATTTCCAAATTCAACTTATTTAAGAATATTTTATGCTTTATTTTTGATAGAAAGAAGAAATAATAAATAAAAAGCTTTAGAATAATTTGAACTTGCTCAATATACAAAACCAGCTCTTTATTAGGAATTTATCATTTATAGATATAAAAAAGATATTAAGAGTAAAGGGATGAATTCTTAATAAGGAGAAGATGATGATATTGTTAATGCAATTGCATTTAAAAATTACTTATCTTTATGTGAAGAGAAAATGAAGTTTTCTGCTAATTTACATAAGGAATTTTGGATAGAATTAAAGGAAGATCAACCTGATTTAGGTAGATTAATGAATATTGGTGCTAGAATTAGTAGAGTAACTAATGAAGCAAGGGAGAATTATGAAAACATGTAGAAAATAAATTCTAATATGCCATATACTATGTAAGTATTTGGTAATTTTATGATACATGTTATGAATGATTCTAAGGGAGGAATTAATTTATTAAATAAAGCAAAATAATTGAAAGAACATTTAAGAAAAAACTAATAAGTACATAAGGATATTTTCAATTTTGAAACTGATTAAATCCCATTCATTTATGTAAGTGCTAAAAAATCAGATACAGGTAATATATTATAAATGAATTCATTATTTACTGCTTATTTTGGATATACTAAAGAAGAAATAGTTGGAAAGAAGATAAATATTCTGATGCCTTAAAAATATGCAGAAAATCATGATAAATATATGAGTAACTTTTTTGATAATTTTGTACTTAATTTAAGATAAGAAGTAGGAATAGAAAGTGAATATTTAGATGTTGATTAAAATAGATTATTTAAACATAAAAATGGATATCTATTTCCATTAACATATTAAGTTACATTACATTTAGATTCTCTTGTATATATTGCAACATTTAAATCTGAAGCAACATTAAAAACTTAAATTTATTTTGTTATTGACAAATTTTCATAAATTTTAGAAATGTCTTCAAGTGCAATAACATTCTTTGAATTAGAATTAAAAAATTTGGGAGACAAAATAAAATTGAATGATTTTATACCAGATGTGTTAACTAAAAATGCAAAAGATGTTTTCTCTAAAATACCAAAAAAAGATGGCTTCTATTACTTTAATTGTTAAGTTAAAGAAATCATTTTACCTTTCCACAATCCAAATGATAGTGATGAAGAATAAAAGAAAAGTGAACGTACTGGATGTTATGTAATTCGTCTTGATAAAATTGAAAAAAATGAAGCTAATCTTAAATATATGATAAAAAAAGGAGCATAACATACAGGTAGCATTAGTAATCCAGATTCAGAATTAGTATTAAAAGCTCCTTCTTAATCAAAAATATAAAATTTAGCTAATATGAGTTAGGATAGTCAAGTTCCTCTAAGAAATTAAGATGTAGATCTTAATTTATTTAGTTATATGCAAGAATTATATGAAAACCCACAAGTTGATGAAATTAGAGATCTATTTAAATAATGTAATGAAGAAACAGAAAGTGTTCCTTCAATTGATTTAGCAGGTAGTATTATCACCAAAAGATATATTAATGGATAAATTGTTAGTATTAATGAAGAATAGGAATAGTTATTTTTATAAATCTTAGAAGAAGAAGAAGAGGATAATTCATTATTTAGAAATTAAGGAAATAATTTTGAAGATGAAGATGATTATAAATTATTTACTTATAATAATTCTGCTAATTTGATTTAAATTGCTTTAAGGACTCATCATAGACATCCTGAAATAACAACATTTAAGATTTATTCATCTTTATGGATTGTATTTATATTGGCTATGACTAGTTTATAATAATACTTTTGTTCTGAATAATTCAATAATTATAGAATAGATGTGGATGTTTTATAATTAATAAATAATTAATTGATTGAAATCAATAGATTAACTTCTAGAGTTTTAGATTTGGCTGTTTATTCAGCTAATCTCTATACATATAATACTACTGAAATAGCAAATGATATATCAATATCAGCTACTTCTGTTATTGATTTTAATTCTGCTATGAATTCGATAGATTACATAAATTTCTAATCAAAATTTGAAGATGAATTATTATTTAGATTTTATACTGATAATGGTTATTATGATGATCCTTTAAGACTAGAAACTGCTTTAGTAGTCTTTTGTTCTTTAGCTTTAAATTCTTCAGTAACAAATTATTAATCTATTACTTTTAATAACATTTATTATTAAGGAGTAGTTTATAATTATTTTGATGTGCTTTATTAAAAAATATGTGATATTTCAAGTTCAACATATGATAATATAAAAGATATTATGGATAATCCATAAGTTGATTTATTAATTTTATTGTCAGCTTCAATATTTGTATCAGTTATGGCAATGATCAAATTTATATTCCTTATGTTTGCTATTAAAACTTAAAGAGAAAATATACTATTTCTATTTTTAGATATTCCAACCTATCATTTAGATGTACTTTATAAGAAATGTGACAGATTCCTCAAAAATTATGTAAGCATAGAAGAATTATAAAATAAATAAGAATAATAAGGTTTTGAAAGTTCAGAGGATGAAAAAGAGCTATAAGAAGAAAAAATTGAAGTATTAAAATCACCAGATGAGGATGAATCTGATATCCTTTTAAGATAAACTTAAAATAGAAAAAAGATTATTAAGAAATATAGATAAAATAGGATTAAAGGAAATTAAGGCATAATTATACAGTATTTCTATATTAATAAATAGATTTTTTGTAATTTCAGTTTTTACTTTAGTTTTTACTGTTTATAATATACTTGGAAGTTAATCATAGTAATAATAAATAAATTTCCTTTTACCTCAATATTATTAAAGTTTATACACAATAAATAATTATGGCTATTATATAAATATACAAAAATTAATGATGCTTGATTATACAATTAAAATCAAAGGCATTCCAGTTTCTGAATATGCAATAAATAATCTCACTATATTTACTGGAAATGCTGAAAAAATGAGCTCAGTATATATATTATTATGAAATTATTTAGTTTAATTTTGATATCTTATCTGAATTATAAACATTTAGAGATAAATACATCAATATTTATTATGGTAATCTTTGTGAATAAATAATGAAGACTGCTGAAATGGATTAATGTTAGCAAATTATTAATTCAAATTTATAATTAGTAATTTTATTTATAATAATATTATTTAGGGAATGTACAACACTGAATCTTATTTTTTAGAGTATTTTAGAATCAATATTCAAAATTTTTATTAAAATATTACATAGAATTCTCTTTTATTAAATGCAACTCAATTTTTTGAAATTGATAGATCATTATATAATTATGTTTATGATGCAGTTACCAATATAATTACTTATGAACGAGATCTAATTTCAAGTGGTATGGATAACATATAAAATATTCAATTGATTTTATTAATAATATTTANAAACTGCTTTAGTAGTCTTTTGTTCTTTAGCTTTAAATTCTTCAGTAACAAATTATTAATCTATTACTTTTAATAACATTTATTATTAAGGAGTAGTTTATAATTATTTTGATGTGCTTTATTAAAAAATATGTGATATTTCAAGTTCAACATATGATAATATAAAAGATATTATGGATAATCCATAAGTTGATTTATTAATTTTATTGTCAGCTTCAATATTTGTATCAGTTATGGCAATGATCAAATTTATATTCCTTATGTTTGCTATTAAAACTTAAAGAGAAAATATACTATTTCTATTTTTAGATATTCCAACCTATCATTTAGATGTACTTTATAAGAAATGTGACAGATTCCTCAAAAATTATGTAAGCATAGAAGAATTATAAAATAAATAAGAATAATAAGGTTTTGAAAGTTCAGAGGATGAAAAAGAGCTATAAGAAGAAAAAATTGAAGTATTAAAATCACCAGATGAGGATGAATCTGATATCCTTTTAAGATAAACTTAAAATAGAAAAAAGATTATTAAGAAATATAGATAAAATAGGATTAAAGGAAATTAAGGCATAATTATACAGTATTTCTATATTAATAAATAGATTTTTTGTAATTTCAGTTTTTACTTTAGTTTTTACTGTTTATAATATACTTGGAAGTTAATCATAGTAATAATAAATAAATTTCCTTTTACCTCAATATTATTAAAGTTTATACACAATAAATAATTATGGCTATTATATAAATATACAAAAATTAATGATGCTTGATTATACAATTAAAATCAAAGGCATTCCAGTTTCTGAATATGCAATAAATAATCTCACTATATTTACTGGAAATGCTGAAAAAATGAGCTCAGTATATATATTATTATGAAATTATTTAGTTTAATTTTGATATCTTATCTGAATTATAAACATTTAGAGATAAATACATCAATATTTATTATGGTAATCTTTGTGAATAAATAATGAAGACTGCTGAAATGGATTAATGTTAGCAAATTATTAATTCAAATTTATAATTAGTAATTTTATTTATAATAATATTATTTAGGGAATGTACAACACTGAATCTTATTTTTTAGAGTATTTTAGAATCAATATTCAAAATTTTTATTAAAATATTACATAGAATTCTCTTTTATTAAATGCAACTCAATTTTTTGAAATTGATAGATCATTATATAATTATGTTTATGATGCAGTTACCAATATAATTACTTATGAACGAGATCTAATTTCAAGTGGTATGGATAACATATAAAATATTCAATTGATTTTATTAATAATATTTATAGTGCTTTTAGTGTCCATTTTTTTATTTGTCTGGATTCCATTTTTGAATGGACTTAATACTTAAATTAATCAAACAATAGAAATGCTTAATATGATTCCATTGGAAGTAGTTAAAGAGAATAAAAGCATACGTAGATTTGTTAAATCTTTAATAAAATCAATGAATAAATGATTTACTTAATTTCTTTTTATTAATTCCATTAATTTTATTTTAACTCTTAACTATTCTTAAGAATGAATGATTGGCCTAAATGTGCTAATATAAATCATAACGAATAAAAAATAATTGGATTTTGCTTTTATCCTCTTTGTAAAAGCAAATAAAGATTATTATGCATTAATTGTTTAAAATAATCTATTCATGACAATCATAAAAATGATATAGTAGAATGTGACAGACTGTCAGAATGGATATCATAACAATAATAGATTTCATCAGACTTTATGAATATTTTGAATTCTTGTTTAGATAATATATAATAACCATTTTAGAAAATTTAAAAGATGATGGAAAATTAACTATTAGAACTTTCTGATGATGATTTTAAAAACTTAGGCTATACCAATCTTAATGATGCAATTCGAAATTAAGTTCTTTATAGAATGTTGATGGTTTAATTTCTCCAGTGCAAATTTAAGTAGATGTTCGAAAGCTTTAGTAAAATATTAAATAATTTGGGATAACTTATGACAGAGTAAAGTATGACTAATAGTGTATTTTAAAAAAGATTAAATTCATTATTGAAGTAATGAATTTTCTTATCTAGTCCTTTTTCAAATAATTAAGAAAAAAATTCTATTAATAAGGATTAGTCTATAGGAAATTTTTTTTAATCTGAAAACAATTTATAAGGATTGATTAGCAATAATTAAACATTAGAGAATCTCTAAGAACCTTAATAAACACCCTTAGAGTTTTTGAATCACTTTTATAATCAAATGATCAATACTCAAATTGATTTCAAAAGAGATATATCAGTTAATGATGGTATAATCTAGTATTAAATAATTAGGAATTGAAAATTTAATTTTGGGAGACCATGAAAAGGCATAAAACATATTTATAACTTTGTCATAATAGAAGCAAGATTAGGAATCAGTAATTTGGTTAGGTTTATATAAATTCTTATCATAGCTTACTGTTAATAACTTTAAAAGAAATATCATGAAGCTATTAACACCTTAAGACCATTAGGAAGCATATAAGAGAATAGATTAAACCCCTAGATTTGGTATATATCAAGTAAGTAAAATTTAATTTAGTGATGAGTGTAATCGGTTTGTAAAATTATAAAGATGCTCTATATTGTATTTAAAAATATTTGAAATTAAGACCTTAGAATTCTAATGGATGGATAAAAGCAGGTAAATTTAATTTATATTTAAGGTCTTATATTGTTAAGGAAAGGTGAGCACGATTTGGCAATTAAATATTTATAATAGGTACTTAAATTTGACAAAAACAATATTGAAGCAAAATCCTACTTATGTATTCAATTTATTTTATGAATAGGTTAGGCATACTTTTCAACAGGTTTAATGAAACAAGCTGAGAGATAATATGGAGAAATCTTATAAATTGATTAAAAAAGCAATTTTTTAAATTTTATCCAACCTTATATGAAAAATTGATTTATATAAATAAAAATTATGAAAGAATATATTGAATATTTGTAAGGTCTTCTAAAATTAAACAATATCGAGTTTTAATAGGAAGAGGATTTTGTATAAGGCAAGTTGAATCAAATTGATAATGATTTCGGATATGAACACATCAACAGATATAAAAGATAAATGATTTTATCTGAAATAGGATTGACTGGATAGAAGTAGATTCATCAAGCAAAGGTATTAATTGTAGGTGCTGGAGGCATAGGAGCACCTGCAATATATTACTTAGCTGGAGCAGGAGTTGGAACAATAGGATTAGTTGATGGTGATAGTGTAGATGTTTCTAATTTACATCGTTAAATTATTCATAATAATGATAGATAAGGAATGAATAAGGTATATTTTAACAAATATCATAGTGTGAATCTGCAAAAAAATAAATTAATTAGTTTAATCCTTTAGTAAATGTTATTACTTATAAGCATCATTTATCATCATAAAATGCAATTGATATATTTTAAAATTATGATGTAATTTTAGATGCAACTGATAATCCTGCTACAAGATATTTAATTAATGATACAGCAATTTACTTAAATAAACCTTTGGTTTCAGGGTCATCTGTTGGTTGGGAAGGATAGATTACAGTTTATGGAATGTAGGGTCCCTGTTATAGATGTTTATTTCCATAATGTCCTAAGACTGTATAGAATTGTAATGAAGCAGGAGTATTTGGAGTTATGCCTGGGTTGATTGGACTCATAGAAGCATTATAAGCAATTAAAATAATTATTGGACAGTAAAGTTTGTCATAAAAAATGATATTGATTGATGGATTAAGAGATGTCTATAAAGTAGTTAAACTCAGAGGATAATAGAAGTATTTATATAATTTAATATTTAGGGATTGTATTGCATGTTAGAAATAAATAAAAATAAATGAATATGATTATGCTTCCTTTGCATAGACTATTTGTAGTTCTTCTGTTCCTTTTAGAGGAGGATATAAAGAGATTGAGTGGAAGGATTTTCTATAGATATAAAGAAATGAAAAAGTAGTTTTATTAGATGTCAGACCAAGTTAATAGTATAACATTATTAAATTGGATGGATTCAAAAATCATCCATATCAATAAATTGAATAATTTTAAATTGAGGAGAATAAGGATAAAGATATATATATAATGTGCAGAAGAGGTAATAATTCTAGGTTGGCTTGTGAATTTTTAAAGGATAAAATACCAAATATTTATAATATTATAGGTGGAATTGATTTGTATGCAAAGTTATATGATCCTAAAATGCCATTGTTGTGATTTAAATATAAATATATACAATTTATCTAATGATATAACTAATGTATATTCAATAAGGAGCGCTAAATCCTGGAGGAGGCAATCCAGTATTTGGATCTGTATTTTTTGCTCTTCTAAATAAAAGTATATGAGGTTCAGGTCTATGGGTTTCATAGTGAGACCATCCTCTTGATTATTATACTCCTAAGGCTCTCCATTCCATTTCATTTAATAATTTACCTACCATATTCAAATTCAAATTGTACCTTTTGTAATTTTTTTGAAAATGTGTTTAGGAAGAATGACATGTCTGTATTCATAGTAGTCATCAAAGTACTTATCAGAATATTCAATTTCTTCAGGATAATGAGGCATTGGAAATATTTAAAATTTAAAATTAAAATAGTTAACTCATCAATTTTATATTAACTCTTTAGGTCTCGATTTTGTTGTTTAAAATTTATCCAATTATACTTTATTTGTATATAAAAATAATGATATTTGAATATTATTTATTCACAATATTAAAACATATCCTTAGTATCATACTTTTTTTATAGGATATTTAGACAGAAATATTATTATTTAATGAATTTAAAGATTATTAATAATGAATAAACAATTAAATGAGAATTATAAATAAAAACTTAAGATTCATATTATGCAAATTCTCATAATAGATATATATATTCAATTATGTATTTCTATTTAATTTTATTATTAAACTAAAATTAGATTAGTATATCTAATAATGATTTTTATTAAGATCATCCTTTATGCTTTAAATAAAGAACTTAACAAGATTTATAATGATATGAAGTCTTAATAGAAAAAATAATAAGAATTAATTTATTCTAAATAAAAAATAGTAAACGTATAAGAATTTAGATAGAAAATGGTATTTCTTTATTGATTACAAAATTTTAATTAGTAATAAATAAATTTAATGTTGATTATATATTAGTATGACTTATAGTAGGAATCATAGTAAGATTCAATACAAATAGATAAGTTGGAAGACATTGAATTTAATACATCTAATCTTAAATATTATTTAGATTTATGAATTTGTTAATTAGTTTTTGATTAATGAAATCTTTATTGAACATAATAACCCTTTCATTGTTGTTTGGTTGTATATAAAATATTGGAGTTGATATTATTGTTTGATGCATTTAGATTAAAAGCTTTTGAAATATTTATATATAATAAGTTCTAAATATTAATAATTTAACGATATTGTTTATGTTATAAAAGAAGAACTCAGACAAAGAGAATGCTTATTAAAATAATAAGGATACTTCAAAGCCACGAATTATAGGAGATTATTAATTAGGTTTGTAGTAATTTTAATTTGAGTTAAAACTCTTGGAGTTGGCACATTTGGTTTAGTTAAATTGGGTTTGCATCAAATCACTGGAGAAAAGGTAGCCATAAAGATTTTGGAAAAGGAACGAATAATAGAGGTTGCAGATGTTGAAAGAGTTTCAAGGGAAATACATATTTTAAAATTGATTCGACATAGACATGTAATTTAATTATATGAAGTAATATTAATATTTAAAGTAGATTATAGAAACAAAGAAACACATCTTTTTAGTTATGGAATTTTGTGATAATGGTGAACTCTTTGATTATATTGTAAAGAATGAAAAGTAAATAGTCAAAGATAATTTCTTAGATTAAATGAAATAGAAGCTTGTCGCATATTCTAAGAACTAATATCAGGCATAGAATATATTCACAAATTGAATATAGTTCATAGAGATTTGAAACCAGAAAATTTACTATTAGATCATTAGAATTAAATTAAGATAGTAGATTTTGGACTATCAAACACTTATAAATAAGGTGAGTTGCTAAAAACAGCTTGTGGAAGTCCTTGTTATGCTGCTCCAGAAATGATAGCTGGTCATAGATACTAAAGTATTTTAGTTGACATATGGTCATGTGGTGTTATTTTATTTGCTACTATTTGTGGATAATTACCGTTTGAAGATAAGCACACTAGTGAATTATATAAGAAAATACTAGGTGGTTAATATACAATACCTTCTCATGTATCATAAGATGGTTAATAATTTCTTAAAGGATTACTAAACACAGATCCTTCAAAACGTTTTAATCTATAATAAATAAAAGAACATCCTTGGTTTAAGCTATATAAGAGAGTTTAGTCTATTCCTTAAGGAATTATTATTGGATATAGCAGAATTCCTATTGATGATGCAATTGTTGATTAATTAGCAACAAAAGGATTTAGTTCAGATTATATAAAGAAATGTCTAGATGCTAACAAACACAATAATTTAACTACAGCTTATTTTCTTATTTTAAAGAAACATCTCATGAATGGTGGATAATCAGTTGCCGATATTAATTCAATAAATTTTAATGAAAAATTATTAGAACCTGCAACTCGTCCTTAAAAGCGTAGACTTTATATTTATTTTTAGCACCTATCAGTTCTCTTTTTGATAGTTCAATGATGAAAACTCTTACACACAATAGATCTGGCTCATGTTAACCAAATAAAAAATCCCATACTCAAACTAGAGGACTTTCTATTCCTACTGCTGAAGATGCTAAATCTATCTATAATGGATCTAAAAACTATTAAACTTCATCATTATCAATTGAAGTATAATATTCAAAATAATACAATAAGGATTAATCATTCCTCATAGAAAGAAATAAGTCTTAATCATTTTAACAGACTAATAATAAAAAGATGACAACTGATATATAGTTAAATGATACTCTAAATAAAACTACATATTTGGCCACTTCTAAGAGATCATCTAATACAACCACTGTATCTCCAGCACATAAAAACATATTACTATAGTATTTAAGTATAATTATATCTTATTAATTATAGAAACCCAACTGAATACAAATTATTAAAATTAAAATCTTGCCCTTAATTATTCTTAACAAGACAATAATAAAAATTGTACTCCAACTGCTCTTAGGGGTAATTCATAACCTAAAATACCATAAAATAGTAAGACAACTAAAAATCAAAAGTGTTCTTATTAAAATTTTGATACCTCTTATGTTTAGGATAAAAAAAAGGAAAATAAACCAATTAATTTAGTGGATACTACTAATATTGATTGTAAAAAAAGATCATTACATATAGATGGAGTATAATATTCTAATTTAAAAATTTAGGATCTTTCTATGCCAGCCAGCACAAAACCTTAATCAATGCCATATTAACTTTGGTTAAAAATAAATAGTAGAAAAGGATCAAGAGATCATAGTGGAGGAGGTTAAAAATCTAAAAAAGCTAATAGTAATACTACAAAAGCTAATATTAATTAAAGCTTCAATTTTGACAAAAGAGTTTGATTTTTTACTATGAATAATTAATTCTATTTATAAATAGTATTAAAATAATCTTAATAAACTATAAATTAATATAACTTTTATCAAAATCTACTTGTAATAAATGTAGAATCTAGTTTACCACTATTATAATTATTAATTTTGAATGGACTACTTTATCTTCCTTTATAAACTTAATGTTCTCCAGATGGCTTACCTTCAATATATTCTCCAACTTCTCTATTACCATCAGCATATATAAAAACACCTTTACCATCTCTTTTATNATTCAATAAATTTTAATGAAAAATTATTAGAACCTGCAACTCGTCCTTAAAAGCGTAGACTTTATATTTATTTTTAGCACCTATCAGTTCTCTTTTTGATAGTTCAATGATGAAAACTCTTACACACAATAGATCTGGCTCATGTTAACCAAATAAAAAATCCCATACTCAAACTAGAGGACTTTCTATTCCTACTGCTGAAGATGCTAAATCTATCTATAATGGATCTAAAAACTATTAAACTTCATCATTATCAATTGAAGTATAATATTCAAAATAATACAATAAGGATTAATCATTCCTCATAGAAAGAAATAAGTCTTAATCATTTTAACAGACTAATAATAAAAAGATGACAACTGATATATAGTTAAATGATACTCTAAATAAAACTACATATTTGGCCACTTCTAAGAGATCATCTAATACAACCACTGTATCTCCAGCACATAAAAACATATTACTATAGTATTTAAGTATAATTATATCTTATTAATTATAGAAACCCAACTGAATACAAATTATTAAAATTAAAATCTTGCCCTTAATTATTCTTAACAAGACAATAATAAAAATTGTACTCCAACTGCTCTTAGGGGTAATTCATAACCTAAAATACCATAAAATAGTAAGACAACTAAAAATCAAAAGTGTTCTTATTAAAATTTTGATACCTCTTATGTTTAGGATAAAAAAAAGGAAAATAAACCAATTAATTTAGTGGATACTACTAATATTGATTGTAAAAAAAGATCATTACATATAGATGGAGTATAATATTCTAATTTAAAAATTTAGGATCTTTCTATGCCAGCCAGCACAAAACCTTAATCAATGCCATATTAACTTTGGTTAAAAATAAATAGTAGAAAAGGATCAAGAGATCATAGTGGAGGAGGTTAAAAATCTAAAAAAGCTAATAGTAATACTACAAAAGCTAATATTAATTAAAGCTTCAATTTTGACAAAAGAGTTTGATTTTTTACTATGAATAATTAATTCTATTTATAAATAGTATTAAAATAATCTTAATAAACTATAAATTAATATAACTTTTATCAAAATCTACTTGTAATAAATGTAGAATCTAGTTTACCACTATTATAATTATTAATTTTGAATGGACTACTTTATCTTCCTTTATAAACTTAATGTTCTCCAGATGGCTTACCTTCAATATATTCTCCAACTTCTCTATTACCATCAGCATATATAAAAACACCTTTACCATCTCTTTTATCATTTTAGTACTCTCCTTCATATATATTCCCATTAGCAAATTTATAAACTCCATGTCCTTCCCTTTTATTATTGACAAAACTGCCAATATATGAATTACCATTTGCAAACATATATTAACCTTTACCATTGAAAAGCTGATTACTCCATTCCCCTTAATAACAATCTCCATTAGCAAATTTCTTTTTTCCGTTACCTTCAATTTTATCATTAACAAAATCTCCAACATAACTAAAAATTTAATTAGATTAATACACATTTCCATTAGCAAACTTATATCTTCCTTGTCCTTCTCTTTTATCGTTTCTAAACTATCCTTCATAGATATCTCCATTAGAATATTTTTAAATTCCGAACCCTTCTCTTTTTTCATTAATAAATGAACCTTCATAAAATTCTCCATTAATTTATTCATACTTACCCTTACCATCTCTTTGTCCATTTTTGAATTCTCCTTTATATCTTATATAAATTATAAGTATACTTATCACCATTTGCAAATGTAAATTCACCATATCCATGTATAATGTTATTTTTGAATTCTCCTTAATAAAAATTTCCATTTTCATATCTTAGAATTCCTTTTCCTTCTTTATCTCCATTAACAAAATCTCCTTCATAAATATCCCCATTATTATAAGTGTACTTCCCTTTTCCATAAATGGAATGATTTCTCCAATCTCCTTCATATTAATCACCATTTGCAAATTTCATTGAACCTTATCCATCAATAGTATTATTTTTTAGATCTCCTTCATAACTAAATAGATGTATTTCTTATTTACATATTTCCATAGCTAAATCTATAAGTACCTCTTCCTTAGATTCTACTTCTTCTAAATTAACCTTAAACTGTATCTCCATTAAATGCAATACATTTCCCTTCTCCTTCTAGCATATCATCTTTAAAACATCCTTACATTATCTTTTTCTATCCATTTTCCTCAAATGTGTACTAACCCCAAATTATATGATTGTGTTTCCAATAACCTTACCATATTGCTTAATCTCTTATACAAACTCCAAATCCATGTTTCATTTATTATAATACTTCTCCAAAGTATATCCCATCTTATTCATTCAATTTATCAACTTCTTTGCTCCTTAAAAATAGATACTCAACTGGTGGTTTATGTATTTAATTTTATAAAAAGAACTGTACCATTGTTTGATCACGAACATTTTCTTCTAACATGCATTTCAAACTAGATAATCCTAAAACCTTTTCAAAATGTTTTCCTGCTTCTTTAATTTATGGTAGATTCCATCTATACTCTAGGAGATTAATAATTTCATTTAGATTTTAAACTTTCTCATAATCAAAGAATGTTAGTAGTTTTTCATTAATAATTTTGAATCCTCCGTTGTATAAAGTATTGTATGATTATTCTAATTGTTCAACATATTCAAGTAAGGTTGTAATATCTTTAATGAAATACTATTCTAATTTCTCTATCAAATAGAGACTATATAAGTTGGATCGATTACAGTTGTTGTTTTTCTTATTGAAAATTAACAATCTTTTAAGCAATTTGATCTCTGGGATTGGTTTCACAAAATAATTTATAAGGGTATTAACATTTTTCAATTAAGTCATCTTTTTGATTTGAGAAGTACTCACTTGGAGATGAAAGGAATGACTATTGAATATCATCACATTCTGTATTAAGTTTCACAATTGATTAATCCATTATAAAATAAATAATCAAGATATTACCTTAAGATTAAAGAATTGGTAAAAATAGAAATTGAAATTAATTATTCATATATCAATAATTATTTTAAATATATAAGATTAAAATAAAGAAAAGGAAAGTTAAGTAAAATAGAAAAAATGAAAAGGAAGTTTAATTGATTATAAAACCAATATATTAAAATTTATTAAATATTCTTAATATACTGACAAAAAGGAACATAAGTTGCTCATTTTTCTACTTTTCCAAGCCATAAAGCCAAAAGTGACTTTCCTTTAACTGCAATAATCTTAAATCTGACCCCTGGAATATCACCGACTGCATGTCCCTTTCTTCCGAATCCAGCTACTGTGACTTCATCATTTTCATTTAAAAAGTTTAAACAACCATCCTTGGGAACGAAAGCTGATATTTTTTTACCATTCTTTTTCAATAATACTCTAACACACTTTCTGACAGCAGAGTTTGGTTATTTAGATTCACTAGATGAACATTATAAAAGTATATTTACACTCCAATTTTTTCAACAACCAAACCTTTAGCATGTGATGCTCCCATGAATGGATTCTTATATCTTGATCCAATCATAGCTTTATTATATTCTTTATCAGCCCATCTATTAACTCTTCTGTGATCTTTGAGCTTTCTTCCTGCTCTCATACCTCTGGGTTTACCTACTCCCATGATTAAAAGATTTTAATTAAATTATTTAAATTAATTACAATCTTCTTTTGATTTTAATAATAATAAACATAATATGTAAAACTCAACAATCATAAATGTCATCCTTCTTCTTTTAAATTTTTGGTTATGATTAATATGACTATTGTTATTATGGTCTTTGTTGATTAGTATAATTATTATTTGTTCTTGTTTCATAATTTGGATTTTAAAAATCTACTCTCATTGGACCAAATACAACAGATGGAAAATTTCTAAAGAAGTTATTTGTAAAATTTTCAAACATTTATCCAATTTCTTCATCCATTTAATTAAAATCAAATTCTGGATTATTCTAATTGTAATTTTAATTTCTTCTTGCATAATTTTAAGATATAGGAATTCTTTCTTCATATTCTTTTGTTTCATCATTCCTCTATCCATTAATAGTTGAACTTTCCTTTACTATATTTTTACAGATCATAAAATTTTAATCTTAAGGATCAGGTCTGCATTATCTTGTTGTTGTTGATGATTTAAATGTTGAATTAACATTTGTGCTAAAATTTTTATTTGCATCATCTTCATCATTGTTTCCATTCCACCAACCCATTTAAAATATTTAATTTGCTGTTTAATAAATTATTTATGAACATTATAGTATATTTATATATATATACAAATATTCATACTTAAAATTTCTGATTCTTTATTTCTAGAAATTTATATATATATATATTTTATATAATCAATCTCTATAAGTCACAATTGAATAAGTAGGATAAAATCTACTTTTTCTTTTAGTTTTAGGATTTATAGAGTGGGATCTCAATTTTGGTAATCTTAGTAAGTCTTGTTTAATTGATTCTTAATCAATAAAACTTTAATTTGTTGGTGTTATTTGTTAAGTTTAATTTGTATCATTTGATGCAAATTTAATATAACTATCACATTCCAATTATTATAAATAACCTACCAAATTTATATTGTTTAACTTAACTATATTTTTGTACTTTTTAGGTATTTTTTAAGATACTGACCTTGTATCATACTAATTAGATCTTTAAGATTACAATCTTATAGATTATTCTTATATTTATATAGGTTTTAGACTCAATCTAACTCCAGGTTATAATTTAATCTCTTATACTTATTCTTCTTCAAATTCTAATATGGTTTCAATATTTTCAACTTATCTTCTTTTTTATTTAACTTATTCTATTAACTTGGGTTAAGAAATTATTGAATTATTATCAGTTAATGGAATTTAATATGGTAAGGTAGTAATAACATCCTTCTTTACTTAATTATTGGATCTAGCAAGTGGATTACAATTATAATCATAAGTATATTCTTTAGAACCAATCTTCATAATCAGTTGATTATGCAACTCTTTAACTTATCTCTTTTCTCTTGATTATTGTCTCAATTTTTATTCTTTGTATTGCTTTTCTAGACACTTTTATTCCATAATTCTTCTTTCATCAGGATATTCTTCAATATATTCTTTAGTCTTTTATCTTATCAATTAAGGTTCATAATCCTCCCATAATTGAGTGGGCATCATAAAAATATGTTTTGGAGGTTCTTCCACTCTAGGAGTTATTTAACCCTTAGGAGGTTATATATATTTGAGATTATATGCTCGATGTCGTTCTTTTGAAACATTTTTAGGTTCAGCATCTTCTGATTCAAAATAGTTTAAGAATGATGGATCAAAATTAACATGCTTTAACATTTTAAAAGCTAGATCTAATGAATAAGTGGCACTTAAGTCAATTTCTAACTTCTAAACAATCTTATCTTCAACTCCTATCAAAATTTGGTTTATAACATAAGGAATTATTGTTTCAATAATTTCTAAATATTCCATTTTAATTATGTTTGTAAGAGCACCTGCTAAGATAATCATTTCAGGTGAACATTCTGTTGTGTATGGTCATAAAGCATTATGTGCAGCTATCAATAAATACACTAAATTAAAAATATACTCAAACAAAACTAATTCAATAGAGATTAGATGGGGATAAGATTGGCATGAAGTCTTAGATCTAAATTAAATTAATACAAATTCTTAATTAGCATAAATTGCTCATATTTTAAAAATCAAACCATCTATTATAGAAGTAGAATCTGAAGTACCAATTAGTTCTGGATTAGGATCATCAGCATCTTTTGCTGTTGCATTATCTAAAGTTACAAATGCATCTATTGAAAAAGCAATTGAAATTGAGAATATATTTCATGGTAAGAGAGGAAGTGGATTAGATGTATAAGTTACCCATCATGGTGGTATATGCATATTTTAGATAGGAAAACCAATTTAGTAAGTTAATATTCCTATTCAAAATATATTATTAATTGATTCTGGAGATAGAAAATAAA